GGAGATCCATGTGAGAGTGTGGAGGTGGAGGGAGAAAGAGGGAGAGAGAAGATGGATGAATGAATTAATGTAACATGAGAGCGATGGGCTGGAGATTTAAGTTATTGTTCATGTAAGTCTGCGATCACAGTGACGCTCACCATGAGGAGTCAGGCACAAGGCCGGGACCAGCACCAGCGTGTCGGGGACGCTGTGAGACGGCAGCAGCAGGGACAGCCGGTTCAGGACGAGTCGGCTCAGATCTCCATCCGTCTCCCCCGCCCGGCGGTGCTCCGCGTGGACTGGATCCGCTCGCTCCTGCGCAGGCGTGAGAGGAGAAGCTGCTCTGTGGTCTCCAGATGTGGACGCCACAACAAAGGCCAGCAGACGAAAGCCTCCGTGCAGACCCACGGCACAGGCCTCCACCTGAGGCAGGCTGCATATGAGCTGGAGGAGCCGGAGATGAAATATTAATACTCATCTTCTCCTGAAAATGATGTAAAGCTTTATATGTTTACAGTCAGTTAAAACCTTTCTGGATTCTGGACCTGAAGTCTGATTTCTGTTTTACCTTTTTGTATGTTGGAAATATTCCTAAAGGTTTCGGTAAAAGCGAAACATTCCTTTTGAAGATTTCTAATGCAGCAAGTAAGAAAAATGTATTTAAAAATCCAGAGGAACTCCGTCCATGACCCTCCTCATCAACATAGAAACTGACTTTCAACGGTTCCGGTGCTTTTCTTTCTTTCCGTTTGATGTTCAGAAATAAATAAAAGTATTTAAGACGTTCTCACTTGCTGCACGCTCTCCAGGTTCACCCGTTTCCCGTGGCGTTTCACCAGCCTGTCTCTCCGTCCCAGGTAGAACATCTGCTCGTCCTTCACGTCCACCCAGTCTCCGCTGGCTCTCATCGTCCCGGGGGCGGCCGCCTCCTCGTCGTCCAGGAGACACACTCTGTCCTCTCCGCCTGCACCAGCCATCACACGGATTTATGGAATAAGATTTGTGTGTGTGTGAGTGTGTGTGTGTGTGAGAGAGAGAGAGAGAGAGAGAGAGAGATCTTCCTCACCGATGAACACCTGCCCTTCACCCTCGGTAACAACGCGGCCGTGTTCGTCCCTCACTTCCACCGTTGTGTCCATCAGAGGAGTCCCGAGAGGAACAGAGGACGGCGAGCTTGAAAGGCACTTCATGTTATGTAAAAGTTAACGCGTAGATTCAATGAATCGTTTCAAACAGGGAGCACTCACATGTGGCCGGCCCGCAGCAGAGACTCTGGTATTTTGTAGGAGCAGGCCCAGCAGGACACCTCGGTGATGCCGTACACGTTGTAGATGTGGGTGCGGTTGTCCTCGTGCCTCCAGCTGCTCAGCAGAGCCGGAGAGGGGCAGGCCTCTCCGCCCAGAGCCAGCACCCGCAGCGAGGAGCCAGGCGACAGCACTTCCTGTCTCAGGACGCGGCGGCCGAAGCGGCCGAGCAGGGTCGGCGTGACCTGCGTGGAAACAAGAAAACGATCACATTTAAAGTGATAAAACTTTATTACTTTCTAAAATGAACACAGACGATATCAGACTGCTGGAGGAAATGCGGCGACAAAGACAAACCATTTGCACAGTTTCTTTTTCTGTCCTGTTTTTAAATCATTTTGGTATCTTGGGTGTTTTTAAAATGAAAGAACATTTAACTGTAAACATTATTCTTGTAAAATCACCACCAGAGCTAAAGCAGGAAACCAGTACTGATATAAAACACCTTGGGAACAGACTCGGTTTATTTATTTATATTTCCTCTCTCCCGTCTGTGTGTAGGTGAGCATAATTATACATATATACAAAATGATTATACATAATCTGGATGCATACATGTATGCATATACATGCACATACAAATATTTGTGTGCGTGCATATACATATATACAAGTATTTTTTTTCTTGTTTTCTTTATTATTATACATAATATGATATGGATGCATACATGTATGCATACATATGCACATATATTTTTGTTCATACACTGAACACAGTGTGTGTGTGTGTGTGT